GACATCTCCCTTCACCCACTTTTCTGTTGTCCGTCCCCCAGGGAGGAGGTCACATGTAGATCCTTGTAATCGGTTACCCCTTTCCAACCCACTCTCCCTCTACACTCCCAGTATCACCACTCACACCACTGGTCCTGAAGGGATCATCCACCCTGGATTCCCTGTGTTTGATATTTCTTATTATATAAAAAGAGTCCATGCTTGAAAAAATTCCGGTAGCAATTCTGGCCATTTAAGATGGGCCCTGAGGCAAGACCAACCAGGTACAAATTATTAAGGTTTTTTATTAATCATGTCAATGTACCAAGTCTTAAGATCGCAGATATATACCACTGTTCATTTGAAACTAATGGAGTATAAAGGTTGAATAGAATATTGGAGAAAATAAAATATGCATAAAACAATTAAGAAAACTACTTATGCAAAAAATAAGAACTTTGTATGATGTAATCTAGTTGTAAATTATAGACTAACTTTCAAATCCCTTTAAAGATCAGCTTTTTAAAAAGCATATTGTGCCTTCAAGTTGGTTCCAGCTCCTAAAACTTCTGTAACCATAGAATGAAGCACTGCCTACTCTGGGGCCATGGGGCCCATTGTTGCAGTCACTGTATCAAGCCATAGCATAGAACATCTTCCTTTTCTCCATTGCCTCTGCTTTACCAAGCCTGGTGCCTTTCTTCAAGGGCTGGCCCCTTCTGATAACATATCTAATGTATATGAGGCAAGTCTGACCATCTCCACCTTTAATGAGCATTATGTCTTAAACAACAACTAACTAATATATTGTCTACCCTGCATTGGACAGTAGCATCATAGCTTAAAATTCCCCTTAAACATGTAAAATGAGCCAAAAGTGAATAACATTAGAACAACAATTAATTACATAAAATAACTCTTTCTGTTTAGTTCTACAGAAAGCATCATTAGTGGCCCTGTTCCCCAACCACCCGCCATGCTCTGCTTCTGTTTTCCAGGTGCCCAACCCCAGGCTGTGATGGATCCGGTCATGTGACTGGAAACTATGCTTCCCACCGAAGGTAGGACCGCTTCTTTCTCTGGGATGTGCACCAGCATGTCAGCAGCAGTAATCAGCCAGATCATATTGCTGTTGTTTTCTTTTGTGGTTGAATGTTTTGTTGTTGTTGGGTAACTCTTTTAGCTTGTCTGGCTGCCCTCGTGCCAGGAAAGGTGGTGTCAAGATGACCCCTACCAAGGATGACAAAGAAGACTCTGAACTTAAGTAAGTACCACAGGAAAGGCCCTCACACCAAGGCACACTGTCCCTTATTGGTTATGTAGGAGGGGCAAAAGGAGGGTGCAGGCCTAGGTTAGGATGCAATTGGGTATTGAAGGAATTCCCGGGAAGGTACAGCCTACAAAACACTAGCACCTCTGAAGCAAGAGTTAGATTGTTTGGCTGTTCCCATTCCCAATCCTAGATAAATGTATTTCCACAGATCTTTGATAAATGCTAAAAAATTAGGAAGTTTTGTTCTTTTCCAGTAGTTCAAAAGACAGTATATTTATATAAATGATAGAGAATAATAAATATAGCAGTATTTTCTCCTAAAATGTTAATTTTTCTTAAGATGAAATTTTATCTAAAACAACAACTAGTTTGTCTTGGTCAACATTATAAAGCTATCAATATGTAAATTAACATCCCTATTTTTACAACAGTTCTAAATATAATATTTACGCATTTGGAAACCAAAATTCCAGTTCTACGAGAGATGTGCTCTATGATTTTGAGCAAGACAGTAGCATTTTTTATCTTTGTTCGTTCTGGGGAGGCAAAATAACCGATTGCTTAGGGCTTCGTCTCCAGAATCCATCACGTCTTGAGATTAAACATGGCTCCATTTTTGTAAATTGATGGCAAGTTACTTCAGTGCCGTCAGCCTCATTTCTTGTATCTCTAAAGTGAGATGGCGATGTGATCACCCCCGTAGGGCTGCTGTTCTTGCTGTTCGGTGCTGTCAAGACCACTCTCGGCACAATCAAAGGAAGGCAACACTACGCGGTTGTGTGCCATCCTCACATACAACTAGGCAGTGTGCAAGCTGATTGTTGCGGCCAGGCTGTAAACTCAGCTTCATGAGGGTCTTCCCCTCTTTTGCCCATCTTCTGCTTTACCAAGAACTATGTCCTTTTCCAGAGACTGGTCTCTCCTGAAAACAGATCCAAAGACTGTGAGAGCATTCTGACTGTACTTAGTGCGAGACAGATCGGTGGGTTTAGAATGAAGGTTAAATGATAAAATATCTGCTTAGGTCAGAGCCTGTGGACCACTCATACTATTCAGATAGTTGTGGTTGTACATTTCCAAAATGCCATAACTTGACAACTTGCCTTCCGGGTAGTATGGAGTGGCTGCTGTCATCTTATTTCATTTATTTCTGAACTGCATCTTAAAAGGAATGCGAATCATCCGGTGTCTCCTAGCAGCAATGTCTCTGCTCTGTCTGTCTAGGTGTCCTGTGATAGGCTGTGACAGCCAAGGTCACATCTCAGGTAAATACACCTCCCACCGCACGGCTTCTGGCTGTCCTCTGGCTGCCAAGAGACAGAAGGAGACTCCTCTCAATGGGGCTTCCCTCTCCTGGAAATTCAACAAACAAGAACTCCCCCACTGCCCCCTGCCTGGGTGTAATGGGCTAGGCCACGTCAATAATGTTTTTGTCACCCACAGAAGGTAACACATGTTTTCTGTCTTTTTACTGTTGATGCTGCAATTGTTTGACAACTGAGTGTGCTAATGAGGAAAAAAACCCTCTATTTAAAGTGAAAGTAAAAAGACGTATTCAGCGTTGATGCCGTTTGAACCGGGAGTTGTGCAGAACCCCGGGAGTGAAACAGCACAGTTAGGAACTTCATCTGCAATGTTTTTATTGGAGATCATAAAGGTAAAGGAGTGAAAATCAGTGCAAGGTTTTTGCTTGGATTGGTTTAGAAAATATGTGAGGTTGCAGGAATTGATCACTGTTCATAATTTCAGAAGTATATGCTTGTTAGGAGAGTTAGGGGTAGTCATAAGAAGGCCACCACATGCATTTCCCAAGTAACAAGATGCTTAGGCATTAGCCTTTAGGCACACACGTCCTTGGCATCTGTTGATGCAAGAAATTTCTGATCAGGGTCTTGTGCACATTCTTTCCACAGCTGTGCCTGACCACAAACAAAAACATGTGCTTAGCTTGGTCATTAAGTATGCATAAAGGTCAGTACGTGCTAGGGAAATAACTTGAAACGGAGTATGAGTTGATGTCAAGTTCAAAGATGTCTCCATCTATAGACCACAGCCTTCCACGAACCAAGTGCCCAGAATGTAAGCTTCCAGATAGGTTGCTTTGGAGAAATAAGAACAAAAAAATTCACGAAGATCATTAACCTCAGCACTCTAGTTGCCATAACAATGTGTCTTTCCAAATAGATATGTGAAGAGCTTGATATGTGAAGAACGCTACTTTCTTCATGCCTGAGAATTCACTACTCAGTTTTCAGGTGCCATTTCAGAAATGATGCATTTGTAGCTTGTCTTCTAAAGGAACGCCTCTGATACTGTTTTTAATGTAATTATTTGGCTAGCTATAAGTGGTGTCTTTACTTCATTCCGGAATGTAATTATAGACAGTTACTTGACATATTCATATCATTCCCTCTCTCTCATGAACTGGCTTGATTTTATGCCAAAATTATAGTTACTTGGCTGCTGGAAGACAGGACTCATTCAGGGCAGTGAGAAGAAGATGGCCCAGTGCTCACTCGATGTACCATGGGATGCGAGGCGGTTTAGACGGCATTGTACAGTGTCACAAAAACGTCTTATCTTTATCACTGAGTGCAAACAGTGATAACAGCTCAGCCCTTTGGGTTCACATTCTACTCAAAGCAGGAGGAGCTGAAGACTCACGGAATACTTCTCCATCCTGGGAGTCTTTCAACTTGCTGGCCACTGCCCATGGTGTCAATTTAAACCACTGTGACCTATGAGTGAGTCTCCACCCCTTGACTAAAGGCTGGACCATTGGGACATTTTGTTCAACCCTGAAGATACATATTGATGATCTGAGGAAAAGAAGCTGTGCAGGGATTGCTTATTTAAGTGGATGAAACTTGCTTATGAAGAAAGCCTGAATGTTCCGAGTGGCTTATTTTCAGAGAGATTTCAAACACAGGCCCATATTCCCCACAGCACACATTTTTGTCTTTTGAGTCTGGATCAAAAAAGCCCTCACAAACCAAGTGGCACCTTGACTGCTAAATGGCTCTACTCTCGGGTAATAACCCCAGTAGAGCCTGTGCTACCGTTGATGATAAAACAAGATATGAAGGTAGCTAGCTCCTTGGTAAGAACAACCTGCAGTGAGCAAGAGGGAAGTTTTCGTTAAGTGAGATGGCAGATGGGAGAAGGACCCTTTTCACTTCACTGGTAGTTTCCTGGACTGCCACGTGAAAAAGAGAACTATTGTTCAAGTTGAGCATGAGCGTGTCCTAGTGCCCAGGCCTTCCGTGTTAGGCTAAAATCCCAGGAAGTCACACCTTGGAGTCGGGAACCAATGACGAGTGTCTGCTGCAGCTTTGCTTCTATAATTCCAGATTGGACATGAACCGCAGGCTCACTAAGTAAATAAT